TAGCAGCAGAGGAGGAGCGGCTGGTCCTGTTGGAGAACCAGAAGCACCTGCCAGTGGAAGAGCAGCTGAAGTTGTTGCTGGAACGGTTGGATGAAGTGAATTCCAGCAAGCAGAGTGTGGGCCGCTCACGGCGTGCAAAGATGATCAAGAAAGAGATGACAGCGCTTCGGCGGAAGCTTGCCCACCAGCGGGAAACTGGAAGGGATGGGCCTGAGCGCCATGGCCCTTCCAGCCGGGGCAGCCTGACACCTCACCCAGCAGCCTGTGACAAGGATGGGCAGACAGACAGTGCCGCTGAGGAGAGCAGCAGCCAGGAGACAAGCAAAGGTCTGAACCCCATAACAAGGTGGACCCCAAAGCAAATTAGACTTTGACTCTGCAGCACACACTCAGCCCCTGCCATCCCCAAGGCAGAGGTCTTTCCTGCACAGCTAGCTGTACTTTCTCCCTCATTCCCCAATCAGGGGCCTCTTAGCTGTATCTCTGGCTATTTGTATAAGAGACACTGTTCCCAATTCCAAGACCCTCAAATCATCTCCCCAACAATAGCTGGAGTATTGGACTTATACACCCAGGGCATACCCTGGATGACATCTGCCCTTCCCACATCAGGCCCCTCACCAACTTTCCTTCTCTCTTTCTCTGCTCCAGGCCTGGGTCCCAACATGTCCTCAACCCCCGCACATGAGGTGGGCAGGAGAACCTCAGTTCTGTTCTCCAAAAAGAACCCGAAGACAGCTGGACCGCCCAAGAGGCCGGGCCGGCCCCCCAAAAACCGGGAGAGCCAGATGACCCCCAGCCACGGAGGCAGTCCTGTGGGGCCCCCTCAGCTTCCCATCATGGGCTCCCTGCGTCAGCGCAAGCGGGGTAGGAGCCCCCGGCCCAGTTCGAGTTCAGACAGCGACAGTGATAAATCCACAGAAGACCCCCCAATGGGTGAGCCTCACCACCCAGTACCCCAAGAGAGTGAGCAAAGCTACCATCTTTCCCAACATAACTTCCACCTATCCCTTCATTTTCCCATAATATCTCAGAGCTAGAAGGGCCCTTAGGAATCATTTAATTCAATCCCCTCATTTTACAGACTGGGAAACTGAAACCCAAAGACACTGATCCAGCTAGATTCCCATCCAAGCCCCCCTCCATTGTATCACTTCACCTTTTCTCTTCTCATCCTCCTTGGTGATCTCCTGCCCTTTAAGCCATTTGTGTCCTAAGGTCTATAACTGCTGAGGGAAGTGTAAGGGGTGGGGCAGGGCTGTGGCCAGCTGTGGTGGACACCACCCAGAGCTAGCTCTGCTGGCCAAGGTTGGAGGAATATTCCAGCACAGAAAGGGAAGCCAAGGCTCTTAAGTACCTCTTACCCCTATGTCATCTCTGATCTACATCTTCCTGACCGATTCCTTCCCTCCTCCCCTTCCCCCCCAACCAAGACTTACCAGCCAATGGCTTCAGCAGTGGAAACCAGCCAGTCAAGAAGAGTTTCTTGGTATATCGTAATGACTGCAGCCTTCCCCGGAGCAGCTCAGACTCTGAGTCCAGCAGCAGTAGCAGCAGCAGTGCTGCCTCAGATCGGACCAGGTACCTGCCCTCCAGATCAAGGCCTGCCTCTGGGATGCCCTTCTGGGTTTCCCTATGGGAAGTGGGGTGGCAGCCATCTCAGCCTAGATTAAGATGGCTCAAATCCAAGGTTCTCTGCAAAATAAATGAAATAGATGAGCGTATCACCATAATGGAATGGAGGGAACCATACAGGGTTCAGCTGATGTTTTAGAGCAGAGGGCATAAACTCTTGCTTTGTGGCCTGGATTTGGCCTACAGACATATTTTGTTTGGCCAGCATGGTGTGTTTTTAAAAATGAATTCAGAAGTACCACATAAAATTCCCAGTTTCTGTGTTCTTTTTAAAAACTAGGTGTGGCAAATCTGGCCAGTATTGCTTTTAGACAGGGTATACATTCATCATCACCACTGCTAAACCCAGCCCACATCAGTCAAATCACTGCCAAGCCACTGAGAGCATTTGGATTTGAAAATCTTTAAGTAGTTTCTGCTTTCCAAAAATCTTAGACGCTGGGGGCTTAAAGAAGAAAGGACACCCACCATGCCATTCTCCACTCTTCTTTGAGCTGAGCTCCCTTTGTTTTGTCTACAGCACAACACCCTCAAAACAAGGAAGGGGCAAGCCCTCCTTCTCTCGGGGCACATTCCCAGAGGACAGCAGTGAAGATACCTCAGGCACTGAGAATGAGGCCTACTCCGTGGGTACTGGCCGCGGCGTGGGCCACAGCAGTAAGTACCCTCGCCCAAGGCCAGGGATGCTGGGGCCCCAGTGTCCGGGCCTTACCAGCCCCCTGTCTGCTGATGTGCCCCCTCTCTCCCATTCCTGTGAAGTGGTAAGGAAGAGCCTGGGCCGGGGAGCTGGCTGGCTGTCAGAGGATGAGGACTCCCCGCTGGATGCTCTGGACCTTGTGTGGGCCAAATGCCGAGGGTATCCATCGTACCCAGCTCTGGTAGGCTTCTCCTTTTTTTTGTCATATCCCTTGCCTGTCAACCCCAGAATGCAGACTTACAATAGTAGACTTTTTCTACTCTCTGCTGAGCTGCAGAGTACAAGGGTCTTGGCAGGTAGAGAGTTAGAGGTCCCTGATTAGTTTCTCCAGCTTTCCCTTTTCCTTCCCATGACCCCTTGGGCTCTGAAGTAATACAGCATAGGAAGAAGGTCAGCATTGCAGTAGCTTGATAACCTTTCCATGTCTCTACTTCAAAGGGTCTCCAAATTCTTAGGTAGAGTAAGCCTTGGGGAAGAGGGGACTGAACCAAACCAAGGTCTTACTATTCCTTCAGATCATTGATCCAAAGATGCCCCGGGAAGGTATGTTCCACCATGGGGTTCCCATTCCTGTGCCCCCACTAGAGGTGCTGAAACTTGGGGAGCAGATGACGCAGGAAGCCCGAGAGCATCTCTACCTCGTCCTCTTCTTTGACAACAAGCGAACCTGGTAAGGGAGGAGGGGAGCATGTGGTGACTCACAGCCACAAATACAACCCTGGAAATGGGGGCAGACTGCGAGGAAATTCCAGCAACAGACAGGCTGGGCTGTCACCAATCAGTGGGGGAGGGACTTAGGCCTTTAAGAAAAAGTCTGAGAAACTGATTGGGCACAGCTGACAAACAGCTGTGACTAGAAAACAAAGAACCATCAGTGACTGTGACAAATATGGGAGTGGCTCCCCACCCAGATCGAGGTGATTTCTATACTTAGTTTTCCCACCTCTGCCTCCATGGTGACAAGATTAGGATAAAGCAGGCATAAAGTCAGACTCTGAATCCCTCTTCTGTCTTGTTTACATAATGTAATCTTTTTGTTAACTATATGCAGAGGATTTTTAATACCAGTAAAGTCTGCCTGGAGCCTGTGGGACAGGGTACTATTTCAGGTTAGGTCAGGGCTCCTTTTTGCACCCATAAATACCTTGTGGTTACCGCTCAGTGTGACAGTTGACTGGGCTCTTCTATCCCTGTGAACAGTTATTTGAGGGCAGAGAACCCCAGTGCCCACCAGAGCCTCGTTCTCAGGAGGTGTTTTTAAATGAGTGAGGAAGGCTGGTGCTTATTGCTCTCCCAGAGATGACTTAATTGATCCTCACTTCGTCTTGTAGGCAATGGCTGCCTAGGACTAAGCTGGTTCCTCTGGGTGTGAACCAGGACCTCGACAAGGAGAAGATGCTAGAGGGCCGCAAGTCTAACATCCGCAAATCAGTGCAGATTGCCTACCATAGGGCTCTGCAACACCGCAGCAAGGTCCAGGGCGAGCAGAGCAGCGAGACCAGTGATAGTGACTGATACTGCCCAGCACAGCCCAATCTACGGTGCCCTGCCACCTCTCTCCCCTTTGCTCACTGTCCTGGAGTGGCACCGGCCTCTGCACTGACTCATTCCTGGTCTTGGGGCCAGTCTCAGGGGAAGCTGGGTGGGGGAGGTCCCTCCTGCCCTGAGTGCAGCTGGACTGTACAGAACACTCCAAGGGCCCATGGTAGCTCTGTGCAAAGAGAGGGGAGGTCCCACAGGCCAGAAAGCTCCAGAGACCTCACAGCATTGCAGTGCAGGGTGGTGGGCCAAGGTTAGGACACTGCATAAAACAGGCCATCCCATCACCTCTGCCTGCTCATGCCAGGAGAATCCATAACTGCCTAGTGGCCTGAGGCCTGTGCAGGTGATATGGTGAACGGGCATCCGCCCTGCCTAACAGTGGGATTGATGTCTGTCCAGCCTGGAAGAGGGGCACTAGGTGACCCCCTCCCCTGCTTTTGTAAATACTGTAATTAGTGGAGAATTTAAATTATTCTCATTTGTAACTGCGTTTCCGGTCGCGCCAGAGTCATTTGGTACTAAAAAGACTGGGGCCTGTCCCCTCTCCCCTCCTTCTCATAGATTCCCCCACCTTTCAAACTGGTTTGTATTTATTTCAAAAGAAGAAAATATATTGATTCTTAGAAAATAAATTGTTTGGAATTCTTGGTTCTTGCCTTCTGCCAGGGCAAAGGGAGTTTCTGTTCCCCAGGGATGGCAAATAATTGGGCCCAAGTGGTTGCTGGCTGCTCTGCATATTGCATTTGTAAGACAACAGCAAAGATAATATGACAGCTCTCATTTCTCATGCACTTACTGAGTGTCAGTACCCGTGCTAGCTCCTTTAGATACAGTTTCATGTAATCCTTGCATTAACTATAGGAATGGTTAATAATAGGGTGGTTATTTCCACAAAGACATAGATTTTGAAAAATTAAGTAACTTGCCTAAGTTCTCACTAGGAAGTTGCCAGAAAGCTCCAGAGACCTCACAGCAGTGTAGTGCAGGGCGGTGGGCCAAGGTTAGCACCCTGCATAAACAGGCCAGGAGAAGCCATACTGCCTAGTGGCCTGAGCCTGTGCAGGTGGTAAGGTGAACGGGCATCCGCCTCCCAGTGGGAATGACGCTGTCCCACTAGCATCTGAACTCGGGTCTGTTGTCTGCAATTTAACCAGCACGTGGAGCTGCTAAAGGAAGAGTCAGCTGCGCGTTCTTTCATGAACTTCGGATGTTTAAAGTTCTTCAACGGTAGGATTGTCCAAGTGTTTCAGAGTCACTAGAGTTGTGACTTTCCCCTTCTTAACTGGGGACAGAGCGGGACTATAGACTTGCTGTTCTTCATCCATTCCCAACCCTGGCTCCTTTTCTGATTCAGACATTTTTTGAAGGAATGTCTTCCAAGTGCTAGGCACCTGTGGGCTAGTGTGCCAATGGATGAGACAGTCACAGGAAGCAGTTGCGGAGGGTTTTGGAGCTACTGAGTGGATGTGCGACAACAGCGTGTCTGATGACACCAAGTTGTTGGTACTCCCTGCGAGGTAATGGGGGTGGGGCACAAAGAAATCAGCGGTAAATCTCGCCCTTCAGGAATCTGCGGTCTAATCATCAATAACCAAAAATCACTATGCTAGAAGGAAAAAAAAAAGTTGCCGGATAAAAGCACAGGTCTAGTTTTTTGTGACTTTCTCCAGAAGGGAAGAAATTACATCTTTCCTGGGCTCAGCCAGCCAGCCGGCCCCGACAACCGGGCTAGGCAGACAGGCTGCCCCACGGCCACACGCTGGCGCTTGAACTTTGAGTCGCCTTTCCCAGCCCCTGAGAAGCCCCGACACAAGCCGCATTGGACGCGGCAGTGTGAGATGGGGAGGACGGAAGGAAAGTCCTCCCGACGAGAGAGCAGCGGAGGCAGGGACAGGAGGCCGATCTGGAGTCAGGCCTCGGAGTGAAGTCTGTGAGGAGGCCTAACACCGGCGGGCGCGGAGACATTTCCTCGGGAGACAGGCGCTGTGGAGACTCCCCACAGGGCTCGGTGGGCTGGCGCTGTGTTCGGGTCCTGGTCCGGGTCCGATTCTCAGTGAAGAGGAGCTCATCGGAGGAGGACCTAGGTAAGCGAAAAGCAGACTAGAGAGGCGCGGTGGAGAAAGGCTCTGAAGATGGCGGGGGATAGGATTTGGTTGTGCGGGCCGGCAAGCCTGACGACATCAGCCAGTGAGGACCGGGGGCCTGAGGGCCCCGGCCGCTGGGGACACGATGGCCCGCCTAATGCGGAGGAAAGGGCCAGCGCCGAGCCCAGCGCGCGCTAACCGCTGAGAGGCCTCGGGAAGGCCCGCCCAGCGCCGCCACGCCCGTTCTCATTGGTGCCTCGTATTTCCCCGCGGATTGGCTACCTCTAAAACGGACTTGCGCCCTACTTCCGGTGAGGCTTCTCAGGAAAGGCCGGAAGAGTGCGCTTGCGCGCGCGTCCCAAACTACGGCCGCTTCGGGGTACAGTGGTGAGCGCGCTGGGGCATGGGGGGCGGGAGGTTTAGGGCAGAAGGTGGGACAGAGTGGAGGGGGCGGGACTTTGGCGGGTGGTAAGGGGCGTGGCCTTCGAGGAGTGGTAGAAGGAAACTGGGCGGACCTTATACAAACATTGAGAGGCGAGGATTTCGTGCAGTTGGACGAGGCCTTCGGTGAGGGAGGCCTTTGGTTCGTGGTCTCTTCGTGGGCGTGGTCTGCTGGTAGAGAGTAGAGCTGGTTCTGAGTGGGCGGAGCCTGATACAGAAATATTAGCCCGCTCCCTTTTGCCTGGTTAGCATGGGGCATCGCACTCTGTCCTCCGTCCCGGCCCTCTGGGCCTCCATCCCCTGTCCACGCTCTGAGCTGCGCCTGGACTTGGTTCTAGCTTCTGGACAATCCTTCCGGTGAGTGACCTTAGCCTGAAGTGCAAAGTTGGGTGTGATGGAAGAAACCTCAATGTATGAAAGAGGAAATTAAGGCAGGGGTGGAGAGCCTGTTACCTTTTTTTTTTTTTTTAATAGCCGGTGATGATTGTAAGGGTGGGAAAATAGTTGGACATAATAAGCCTGTGCAGTGTTGTGAGGATCACATGATATAACTGATGTAAAATAAAGCACTTTTACTTTACAAATGACAAATCAGTTTTATGTATGGAAAGGTTGTAGGATGGGAGGGCCCCAAAGGTTGCAAGAAGGGAAACTGCGTGCTAGGGCCCTGTGCCTGGGGTCTCAGGTGGAAGGAGCAAAACCCTGCGCACTGGAGTGGCGTGCTGGCAGACCAGGTATGGACACTGACCCAGACCGAGGAGCAGCTCTACTGCACTGTGTACCGAGGGGAAAAGGGCCAGGCTGGCAGGCCCACACCAGGAGAGCTAAAGGCCCTGCGCCAGTACTTCCAGCTGGATGTCAGCCTGGCTCAATTGTATCGCCATTGGAGTTCCAAGGACCCCCACTTCCAAAAAGTAGCTCAGAAATTCCAAGGTGAGTACAGAGCCTGGGACAGGGTTTGGGTTGGGGTCATTGTAGTTTGGTTAGGTTACTCAGTTTCACCATCTGTAAAGTGGGGATTATATCTACCTCATAGGATTTTATGAGGATTAAATGAGCTAATACATGTAAAGTGTTTAGAATAGTGCCTGACACCTAGTAATTATTATTACTGTTATGATTGTCCTGCTGATCACCATCATGGAGTGACAAGGATATTGAGCCAAATTCTGGCTGTGTGACCTAGGGCAGGGGACATCATTCATTCTGTAAATATTACAGAGCATCTGCTATGTGACTGGGGATATAGCAGTGAACAAAGTGGACACAAATCCCCACCCTCATAGTGCTTACATTGTGGCTTATTTGTGGAATGGGATGATGACCCAGACCTCGAAAGATGCTATGAGGAATGATGTTGCTTTCTCTAACAACTTTGTCCCTCATTCCCCTGGGAGCCTACATGCCTAGGATCTGAGGGTGAGAGGAGGCCACTCCTGACAACAGGTGCTTCTCTTACCCCCTGCCTTTCCGATCTTCAGGTGTTCGACTCCTACAACAGGATCCCATCGAGTGCCTTTTCTCCTTCATCTGTTCCTCCAACAACAACATTGCTCGCATCACTGGCATGGTGGAGCGGCTCTGCCAAGCCTTCGGACCTCGGCTCATCCAGCTCGATGATGTCACCTACCATGGCTTCCCCAGCCTGCAGGCCCTGGCTGGTGAGTAGGTGGGTGCCTGCCGCAATGCTCACTAACAGCTTTCAGAGTCTGTTCAGTTCTCCCCTGGTCCCATCTCCCATCTCAAAGCTTCTTGCCTTCCCAAAGACTGTCCTCATCCAGAATCACCCTGCCTGGTCCGATCAGCCCCAGACATACCTCACCCTCCCTATCTGTCCCTGAAATGTCAGCACCTCACTACTCTGTTTTTTGCCCCATGGTTTCAATGCCTCATCAGAAAAACATCCATATGCAGTGTGTAATAGGTTGGGGTTAAATGCATATGCTTTTTATTTTATTTTTTTAAGAGAAAGTTTATTTAGAAAGTCACAGAGGTAGAAGTGAGCTGTAAAAGAAATGGGATCAGGAAACAAGTTACAGAGGCAAAAGAAGGACCCTTGGAGCTTAGGAGAAAGAGAGAGGCAAGGAAAATGCACCTTGGCAGAAGTGGGTGAGGAAAGGCACCAGCGTGCTCCATAGAGAGAAACCTCTACACACATGTTCTGGAAAGAGAGTGCCTTAGTCTGAATCCCAACTCTGGCACTTATTTAGCCTCTCCTCTGTTTCCTCATCTGTGGAATGTGATAATAACTTATCAGAGTTGTCACAAGAGTTGAGTAAAAGAATACACATACTGCACCTAGTACATTGTTTGGCCTATGGGAAATACACAGAAAATTCAAAGGTTGGGGTTAAATGCATATGCTTTTTATTTTATTTTTTTAAGAGAAAGTTTATTTAGAAAGTCACAGAGGTAGAAGTGAGCTGTAAAAGAAATGGGATCAGGAAACAAGTTACAGTGAATCCAACAATTTTGTATTCAGGAACACACATTCTTTACAGCAGCCCTGTGAGGCAAGTTTTACAGAGATAAGTATCTCTATTGGCAGAAGTGAGGACCAAGTTAGGGGAAGTGCTTGGGGAATGTATAGTAAGGAGACAGCCTGCCTGGAAAAAAAAAAAGAATGTTTTTGGTGCTTAGAAACCCAGTCTTGTACCTTAGCTTCCAGCTTAGTATTCATAAGAACTCAAGAAATTCATTCACCTCTTCACGCTTCTCTTAACTTGTTTGTAGGATGGGGATAATAGTTCCTATCTAGAAGGGTGAGAGGGAATAAAGCAATCATGAAGCAGGTTTAGAGCACAGGAGTTGGTGTTTCAGATCCAGGTGCAGATCCCATCTCCACCGTGTCCTTTCTTCAAGTTACTTAACCTTTTTTAAGTCATCGTTTTGAAATAGGAAAAACATCTGTGAAATAGGAAAAACAGCCCAGCCAGTGTTGCTCAGTGGTTGGGTGTTGACCTATGAATCAGGAGGTCAGGGTTTGATTCCTGGTCAGGGCACATGCTCAGGTTGTGGGCTCGATCCCCAGTAGGGGTCATGCAGGAGGCAGCCGATCAATGATTCTCTCTTATCATTGATGTTTCTATCTCTCTCTCCCTCTCCCTTCCTCTCTGAATTCAATATTTTTTTAAAAAAATAGGAAAAAATACAGTACTATTATCAGGGTCCTTGAGAAAAATGAGTGTGATAATGTATCCAAAGCACTTTGTCCGTATTTGATAACCAGCACTTGATCATAGAAGCTCTTGCTATTATTATGACTATTATTTTAGATCATGGGTGTGAACAGCCCTTTGGAAAGGTTAAGAAACTCAGTTGGGGAGTTCCTCCAGGGCAGCAAGCCCTTCTGAGTCCCTGCTCCAGTGTCCGACACATAATAGGTGTTCAGAAAACATTTGTACAGGGGTAGAACCCAGACCTTAACCCTGTCCTTTGCACATGCAAGTATCCCAGGGTCTCCCAGAGGGTGGTGAGGTGGGAGAGGGGTGCTTAGGAAAGCATTCCTGTGCGGTGGAGGGCTCACACTAGCCTGAGGACATAAAAGGATTTGAGGATGCCTGACCCTGCTCCTTTCCCCACCCTCCTACAGGGCCAGAGGTGGAGGCTAAGCTCAGGAAGCTGGGCCTTGGGTACCGTGCCCGCTATGTGAATGCCAGTGCCCGAGCCATCCTTGAAGAACAGGGGGGGTTGCCCTGGCTGCAGCAGCTGCGTAAGGCCCCCTACGAAGAGGCCCACAAGGCCCTCTGCACCCTGCCTGGAGTGGGCACCAAGGTGAGGCCTCAAGGTGAGTGGTCTACCCTCAGACCACTCATGTAGAGAGTAACAGAGCAGGAGACAAGGCAGGCCTGAGAGCTGGGTGCAGGCTCAGCTTCTGGAGGCAGAGCAGGAAGGAGAAACGATACAAGCAGATATTTTATTAGAGAAAATGCAAAAAGAGTATAAAGGACATTACCCTCTGAATGCATTTGTAGAAAGGCCATTTGTTCAGGTGGACATATACACTGCTATATATATACACAGTAATTTCCTGAAGGAATCACAGGAAACTTAATAGTGGTTGCCTTTGGGAAGACACATAGGAAGGTATTTCTACTTTTATTCTTCTTATGAATTATTTGTACTTATGAAATTTTTTCTTTAATTTCAACAAGAGGATTGTGAATCCGACATTTATTGTGTTCTTCTGTAAACTTCTCTGCAGTTTTGTTTAAAGAACTTTTTTTTAATGGACTCTGAACTTCACTCTAACATTAAGTCTTGTTCTGCTTCTTCCTAGCCATGTAACTTGAGCCAAGTCACTTTACCTTGCAGAACCTCAGTTATCTGCAAAATGAATATAGTACCAGCTTCTTTCCAGGTTATGAGAACTTTGCCTACATTGATATTCATGCAGTAGCACTCTCATCACATCTGTATTTAAAATTATTAATAGTTGGTATATAATGATTGAGAATATAGAATAATAATAACCTCAGAGTGGAGGAGGAAGTATAGCTGGCTTTGGGGCTAGAAGCAGGATGCTGCCTGAATCCTGCCATTCCTCCTCTTTTTCTGTCAAAGGTGGCTGACTGCATCTGCTTGATGGCCCTAGACAAGCCCCAGGCCGTGCCCGTGGATGTCCACGTGTGGCAGATTGCCCAACGTGACTACAGTTGGCACCCCACAACAACCCAAGGCAAGGGTCCAAGCCCCCAGGCCAACAAGGAACTAGGTAAGGAGAGAGGGAGATGCCAGGGCTGGCAGTAGGCTGAGGTGGTAGAAACTTCTCACCTCTCTCCCTAATACCCCACCACTGTGGATGGGGAGTGGGAAGGGCCAATTTGTTTTGCCTCATTATCTCTGATTTAGGAAACTTTTTCCGGAACTTGTGGGGACCTTATGCTGGCTGGGCCCAAGCAGTGAGTATACCTAGGCTTCCTCTCTTCCAGCCTAGACCCCATAGGACTTCTCCCCAAGCCCTGGCCCAGGGACTCTTCTACGGCCTCTGCCCTAGGTGACCCTAAAGGATTCTCTACCCTCCATCCCCAGTCCTGACTCTAGTGGATTTGTGTTGCCCTGGACCTGCTCCCCAGTAATTCCATTTCTCCCCACACTACCACCAGCCTACCAGCCTAAACCCAGTGTACCCTGTCCCCACATAGACTCTTCCCCCTGCCCCTAGGTGCTGTTCAGTGCTGACCTACGCCAACACCACCAAGAGCCACCAGCAAAGCGCAGAAAGAGATCCACAGGGCCCGAAGTCTAGGTGGGGGCACAGGACAAAGGGATTCTCCCAGTACCTTTTCCCTCCATTCCCCATACTCTCCTCCATCCAGACTCATGTGGGGAAGGGGGCTCCATGCAACTACCTCAGGGGCCAGACACCCTCAAACCAAGCAGTTTGCATAACAGTGTGAGGTGGGGGCGTTATCTGGGGAGACAAAGCTACCTTTGGTTTTATCCTCTTCCCTTTATTACAAGAAGGAACAATAAAATAGAAACATTTGTATGGAAAATGCAGTGGGGGAGTGGTAGGAAAAGGGGTGGGGTGGGGTGGGGTTGGGTGGAACAGGGTAACCCCAGTTCAAGGAGAGAAGGGGAGCAGTCTGCCCCCAATCTCTCACACACAGGGGATCCTGACCCTGGATCCAGAGACCTAGAGTTGGGGGGACAGCCTGGGGGACATTTCCGGGCCCGGCTCCACACAGCAGTCTCGACAGCAGCAGCCAGCCACTGGCCCTACATGGGGAGAGAACATACTTGGCTGTAGAAGCAGACCCTCCACTCCAGCCTGGGTGCCTCTTCATGGACCACCCATACCCTTCCACAGAGTCCTGGTCCTCACCCCCAGCTGCTGGTGTCAGCAGCTCCCCGTGGCTCGCCGTCGGTCCCTGCCCCTCCTGGCTGGTGCCCAGCTGTAGCTTCCTCATGTGCCGCACCACAGCCGTGGCATTGAAGGCTTGCTGTGGGAAGAGGGGGAGAAGGGACTTTTGAGAGAGTGGGAGATCATGGGGCAGGTCTGGCAGTGGGATTCTTGCAGTGGTTCTGTTATTTTCAGGTGTTATTGATTGATCCCCTAAAACCACCTGAAATATCTGCAAGCCTTTATTAAATTATATTCAGCCATATTACGTATTTACACATACATATACACACATATATAAAAAGTATATAAACAGATATGTAACTTTATATTTACATAATAGCAAACACAATATAGCATATTTCAGGCATTGTTCTAAACACTTTACATAGTAATTCATTTAATCTTCACGGAAATCTTTGAGGTGAGCACTACTAGTGTCACCATTGTCAAAGGCGGAAACTGAGGCACAGAGAGGTTAAGTAACTTTCCCAGGTGTGTATATATCGTTATTTAACATATCCCCTGAGATGTCTCCATAAAACCTTCAAATTCACCATGTCCAAAACCAAAGTAATCCCCTAAGACAAGTATCAGGCCAGCCCTGACGTCTCTCACATCAATATCCATTCTACCATCACTTCTTGTCAATCCCACCTCCTAATTGACTCCTGGACCAATCACTGTTCTCTGTTCCTGTTGCCTCTGCTCAGGTCCAGCCCTCACTGTCTCCGGCCTGCCTCTCTGCCACATCCTCCTAAGGGGTCTCCAAGCCTTCACTCTGTGCCTCTCTCTGCATCCTGAGAGCCCTTTCTAAAGGGCAAATTCCTGCTGAAAATCCTTCTAGGGCTCCTCAGCATCGTTAGGATCAAGTCAGTGTTCCACTGTGGCATTCGAGACCCTAAGCAGCCTGGGCCTGCATCTCCAGCCTGGGCCCCACATCCCAGAAGCCCTCACTGCCCCCAAAGCCCTTCCAGTACAGCCACGCTTAGCACTGGCACTTCCTTGAATGTCTGCACTTTCTCTTGTTCTTGGCCCTTTGTACATTGGTTCCCTCTGCCTTAGACATTATTCTACTATGCCTGGCTAATTCCTACTCAGCTGTAGGTCTATAAGGCCATCTCCACCTTTATGCCCTTCCAGGACCCTGTAGGTTGGATTAGATGTCCCCTTAAGAATTATATACTGTTCTCCCTCTAGACTTGGAGGTCAGGGACCCTCACTGGAATAGAGTAGGTGCAGGGAACATTGAATGAATGAAAGGTTCTTTGGTAAGCATCCTGAGCAGTTACTGTGTACCTGACTTGGTGCTAGGTGTTGTGCAAGCTGAGGCATGGTTGCGGGTGGGGAGGAATCCTGGGGAGGCTGGGACCCAGGACTAGGAATGTGGGCTCACCTTCCACTTGCTCTTGGCAAAGTTCTTCTTGATCTGCTCACTCACTGACTGGTGAATATTCTTATCTAGAGCCGTATCTCCTGCAATCCTAGGGTAAGGGGGTGTGGAGGATTATCTGTGAAGGCAGAGGCAGGCCTGGGGCCCCAGGCCCTACCCCAGTTCACAGCTCATGGAAGCTCTCACCATGGGTGCTGCAAGGCCTGCTCACAGGTGAACCTCTTCTCTGGATCCTTCTCCATCAAGTGCCTGATGAAATCTTTGGCTGAACCCCCAAGACAAAAGTAAAGACAGAAAGAGCATGGTAGTGCCTGTGGACACCACCAAAACAGAACCCACCCCCTCAGGTCTGGCCTGGTATCCAAGCAAGATGAGTGGCCAGATTTGTTCATGCACCGTCTCACCCCACCTGTTCTCTTTCTCTAAGCCCTCCACACACCCCAGCATTCCAGCTCTCTCCTTTTTCCCTTAAGAAAAACTTGTTCTTAGAAGATTCTACTCAGTGTATTCACACTGATGTGCAAATGATTGATAATGGTTTCACAGGTTTGCCTCCTACTAGGAGGCACAAAAGAACAGATGAAAACATTTATGTGGTGTTTTAGGCATTAGGATGTCAGTGGAGGGGGGGCGGGGGATATTTTCAAAAATACTATGTTTGAAGACTGAATGAATGAATACCTACAGGTTTCTCAGATCAGGGCCAGGCAGAGGGAAGAGCCTGGGGAGGTTGTCTCAAAGACAGCTCTTAGTCTGGGGCCCATCTGACTTAAGGAAGGCAGTGAGGAGACCCCAAAGCAGATGAGGAAGGCACCAGAGGCAGGGCCCAGGGGAAGAAGGCAAAGCCCCAAATACCAGAGTCAGAGATGTCGTCCCAGTAAGGAGAGTCAAACTCGTACTCGGCCTTCAAAATCTGTTCAAAGAGTTTGGCATCATTCTCGTCATAGAAGGGGGGGTAACCGCAGAGCCTGGGCAGGGAGAAACTCATCCTCATTTTCCATTTTCAGTGTACCCACTGGCTCCTGGATGGAGCTTCGGGGCAGTCCCAGGGGTTAGGCAAGACCCACAGGAAGGAGTTCCCCCTTTTACAAAGGGGGCTGAGGGAGTCTACCCGTCTCTGCCTTGTTCACCCCGTCCAGTTCTACTTTCTATTCCTTAACATGCCACCATCTTTCCTTCCTCGGGGCCTTTACACTTGCTATTCGTGTCTGGCTCACTCACTTCATTCAGGATGCCACTCAAATGTCACCTCAGAGAGGCCTTCCCTGACCTTTTCATCTAAAATGGCATCCATCGCCTCTCCCTACCCTGCTTCATTTTTCTTCATAGCACTTTTTACCACCTGACATTTTATGGATTTAGCTACTTGTTGTTTACTTGTTTATTTACTTGTCTCTCTGCCCTACTAGAGTGTCTGCTCCCTGAGGGCAGGCACTTTGCCTGTTTTGTTCTCTGCTAAACACCCAGTGCTTGGTGCAATGTCTGAAACATAGTATCTATTGAATGAAGTAATATTAGTCATTAATTGGTAGACAAAAATGTGGAGGTCAGGAAGGAAGAAATTGCAGAGGAGAGGAAGAGAGCAAAGTAGGGGAGAAGAGAACTCTGGAGCCATATACCCCCATGGCCAAGACCCCACTCACAGGATATAGGCAATTACTCCAATGGACCAGCAATCCACTGCCTTGCTGTAGGGTTTCTGGGCCAGGACCTCAGGGGCTATGGAGGGAAGAGGACATGGTGGTGACAAATCTCTGCCCTGCAGCTCCTGGTTCCTCCCCTGCCCATGGTCCCAGCCCAGGGCCCTCCGCACCCACGTATCCCGGAGTCCCGCAGGCCGTGGAGAGTACACTGCCAGGGTCCTCCATCTTGGAGAGGCCAAAGTCAGAGATCATGATCTTGGAGTCTTCATCCAGGTTGTAGTACAGCAGATTCTCTGGCTTAGAGGACAGGAGGGAGGGGAAGGGGCAGTCAGAGATGGCCAAGCACCCCCTGCGAAACAATGGGCCCCCCAAAGCCCCTATGGCTTCACAGCTACTATCTTAGTTGGAGGCACAAGAAACTCAAGGAGGTTAAACGTTCTAGAAAGGAAAAGAACCATGAAGATGTGGGAGGGAATTTTCCTGTAAACCTCAGGTATTTACTGTGAAGCCCTAAAGAAATAATATTTGAGCACCTACTGTTTGCCAGATCTTGTGCTAATGCTTGATTTCATTGCATCCTTACCACATCGCTATCAGGCCAGTCTGAATAATCCCACCTTACAGATGAGGAAACGGATGCCTTGAGAGGAAAAGTGCCTTTCCTGAGAACCTACAGTTAGGGAGTAACAGGGCCAGGATTCAAACTAGATCTGGCCTTCTAGACTGGAATGAGATGTACTACCCAATGTGAACCTCATAATCTCTGAGAATTAGGATTTCGGGGGTTTCTAGATTTTTTTCATTGTGTTTTGCTCTCCCATCCAAGTTTTCTACAAAGAGCAAGTGGGAATTTTATTATAAGAAAAAGACACAAGCCATTATTTGGATAAAATGACAGTAGAGTTCACCTTTGTGTCCATTTGAGTGTCTGAACTGGAATGGGAGGAGGCAGTTTAGGGCTTACAAGGTCCATTTTGCAGATGGGAAGCCAAGGTTCAGGAAAGGGGTGAGAGTTACCCAAGGTCTCACAGTGAGTGTGCAGAGTCCCCACTCCTGGGTGCCCCAGCTCATCATACCCTCACACCTCACCTTGAGGTCCCGGTGTACAATGCCCAGGTCGTGCAGATATTTGACAGCATCCAGCACTTGGAATATAAGACGGCTGGCGTCCCGCTCTGTGTAAAAGCCTTTTTCCACAATGCGGTCAAACAGCTCCCCTCCTGACACCCTGCAGCAGGGAACAGGGTAGTCTGGCCAAGAGAGCAGGAGAAGCAGGGAGGCTAGGAAGGGGGCAGCAGAGAGAGGTGTGATGAAGGGTTAGAGTCGAGGCCACTCACAGCTGCATGATGAGATAGAGGTGGCCCCCACTCTCATAGATGTCATCCAGGGCAACAATGTTGGG